CACACAAAAGACATTTCCAAATAGATCAATCAACCTCATCCAGGCCCCACACAAGGCACTCACAGATCAACACCCCAGCGCTATACTAACTCAACACATCCAGATCTAAGCCTTCATCACTTGATTCAGCAGACCTTCAAATTCCCCCAAAAGTTTCCAGCCATGTCTGAGAGGCAGCCTTGCAGCGGGGGCAGGCAAGGAGCGAGCTGTTTAGGGCCTGGCTGCTCCGGGCCTGGCCTCTGTTGCTCTGGTCCGTTCCACAACCAGCTGCTCCGGGTCTGGCCACTGCTGCTCCCGGCCTGGCAGCTGCTGCTCCGGGCCTGGCCACTCTCGACCCGGCTGCTCTGGGCCCAGCTGCTCCGGGCCCGGCTGCTTCGGGCCTGGCTGCTCCCAGCCTGTCTGATGCTGTTTTGGGCCTGGCCGCTCTCGACCTGGCTGCTCTGGGCTTGGTTGCTGCTGCTCCGGGCCCAGCCACTCCAGGCCTGGGTGCTCCTGGACTGGCCACCCTGGGCTTGGCCGCCTCTGCCTCAGGCCTGGCTACCACTGCCCCAGGTCTGGCTGCTCTAGGCCTGGCTGCTGCTGCTCTGGGGTCTGGCTGTTGCTGCTCCCGGCCCGGCTGCCACTGCCTTGTGCCTGGCCACTCTAGGCCTAGCTGCCACCATTCCAACATTCTGTCCTTTTTTTTTAAAACGCATTTATGTTGCAATGTTGGCTGCTGAGTTGAGTTCTGACTTAGTCTTGGATTTTTCAAGATCTTCTTTGTATTCTTTCTTAAGTAGTTTTACTATCTTTTGCTATAACTTGATTTCTTCACATTGAAAACTTCTTCGGTTTCTTCCTTCTTGTCCTGGAAGCTCAGCAGTTTGGCCTGTGGCACCCCTTTGTTCTCCATGGGCTCCTGCATGGCTTCAGCCTGTTGCCGGGGTTGGCGCCGCCCAGGAAGCAGCCCCTGGCCTCGGCTCCATGGCCCGCACTCAGCAGTCAAAGGCCCAGGGGCACCCCGCACCCCTGGGGCCCCATCGCCCGGCTCCTTGCTGGTGCCTGGCTGGCCGGTGTCCCGCAGGGGCTCCTGCTCCTCATCGCAGTCCTCCCAGTCTGGATTTTTTTTCTCCTTCCCTCCAGGGGAGTCTAGCATAAGAGTCAACAGACTGTCCTCTGCACGCAATGTGCGCGACTCCAGGGGCTCCGCTTTTTGCCGCTGGAATTCCGCCTCACAGCCCCGTCTCCTTCTGCCTGAGCCTGGGTCCCCAGGGTCTGGCCTAGAACTGGGGTTCAGAGCAGTCGGAACTGGGGCCCAGCAAGGCCGGAGCTCCTGTTTCCTTCCCGCCAGGGCAACAGCATCAGAGTCAACATTCCTTCCCTTGCGCTTAATATGCACGACTCCGGGGGTTTGGCCTTTCGCCGCTCCCCCAGGACTCCACCTCATAGCCCCGTCTCCCTCTGCTTGAGCCTGGGTCCCCAGGGATTGGCCTAGAACTGGGGTTCAGAGCAGTCGGGACTGGGGCTCAGCACCGCTGGAGGTTTTGTTTCTTCCCGCCAGGGCAATCCAGCATCAGAGTCAACATTCAGTCCCCTGCGCGCAATGTGCAAGACTCTGGGGGCTCCGCTTTTCGCTGCTCCCCTGGGATTCCACCTCTCAGCCCCGTCTCCCCCTGCCCGAGCCTGGGTCTGGCCCAGAACTAGGGCTTAGCGCTGCCGGTTCTGGGGTTCAGCCCAGTCCAGGGCTTTTATTTCCTTCCTGCTAGGGAACGCCAGGCAGGCACCCAGCCTTCTCCACTCCGGCTCTGTTCCCTCTGTGCACGTGCACGCGTGCGCAGCATGTCTCCGTACCTTAGGCTTTTTCAGCTCCTCTGATTTTCCTTCTGGTTTTCTCTTTCCTTCTTGTTGTAGAATTTTCAGTCAGTCAACTACCTGCAGCTCTGGGCAATGTCCACTCTACATTTTAGTTGTATTCCATTGAAATTGTGTGTGCTGCTGTGGTTAGGTGTCTACCTGAGCAGCCATCTTGGATCCTCCCCCAAGGTAATCAGAAATATATTTTTTTAAACAAAGAAAGTTAGGTCAGAGTTTGTCTTACCATCTTAAAAAAAATGCTTTCTTATAAAATTCCCCCCACCATTAAAAAAAATATTTTATTGATTTTTTTACAGAGAGGAAGGGAGAGAGTTAGAGAGCTAGAAACATCGATGAGAGAGAAACATCGATCAGCTGACTCTTGCACACCCCCTACTGGGGATGTGTTCGCAACCAATGTACATGCTCTTGACCGGAATTGAACCTGGGACCTTTCAGTCCGCAGATCGACGCTCTACCACTGAGCCAAACCGGCTTCAGCTCCCTCTACCATTTCATTAGCTCTCTGACGCCTTTAAAAAATGTCCTTATATTTTGCCCATTTTTCTTCTTATTCTTAGTGGGAGTGTTGGTTAGCATGTCTCTACCTGGTCTTCTGTGATCAGATTAAAACTCCTTGGGTGGCCCCTTATCTCAGGCACTAGCGTGTGCTGTGGGACCAGTATGACCTGGTCCCAGATGCCGGATTCCGGGGCCAGGACCCGTGCTGACACAGGAAGAGGTCCGGGCTCCTCAGGGCTCTGGGACAGTGGGAACAGTGCAGACGGAACACCCAACCCTTTCTAGAAGCTTATTCATGACTGTCCATTCCCGAGGGGCTGGGCGTGCTGCCCGCTCTTAGGTGTAAAGGGTCTGAGGGCCACGGAGACGGCCAGGCAGGCCCAGGCTGCTCCCAGTGTGGTGACAGGCAGATTCCCTTCGTGTGCATCAACCTCCGAGTCACCACCAAAGGAACAGATTCTATCGACCTCTTGTCACTATAGCCTCATTTAACAGATCTGTTCCTATCGATAGCCGTCTCCTAACCTCTCCTCCAAAACTCTGACCCTCTCCAGCCCACCCAGGCAGGCTGGCTTTCCTGCCTCATTGGCGATGTGAGAACTCTCCTGCCCACACGGCCACGGGGACGGCCCTGCTCTTCCCCACTGGCTGCTCTGTGAGGGGGGGGGCACCCTCCTGTGCAACAGGTCCCACCCTGAACCGGGCAGGAGCTGCGGGTGCCCGGGCAGGAGCTGGGGGTGCCCGGGCAGGAGCTGGGGGTGCCCGGGCAGGAGCTGGGGGTGCCTGGGCAGGAGCTGGGGGTGCCCGGGCAGGAGCTGGGAAGTGCCTGGGCAGGAGCTGGGGGTGCCCGGGCAGGAGCTGGGGGTGCCCGGGCAGGAGTTGGGAGGTGCCCCGTCAGGAGCTGGGGGTGCCCGGGCAGGAGCTGAGGGTGCCCGGGCAGAAGCTGGGAGGTGCCCCGTCAGGAGCTGGGGGTGCCCGGGCAGTGTATTTTTATTCTTGCCTTTCCATTTTTTTCCTACTGAGTAATACTTGTGGAGACCTTCCAGTGACTGAAAACCTGGCAAATAGGAATCAAGAAGGACCAGTTTGTTGCACCAACTTCTCCGGGGGAGACAGAGGGGGGGAAGGGGGTAGGAGCCCAGCTCTGTGGGAGGGCAAGGAGGGCGCTGGGAATTCAGTGTGGAGTTCGTCTTCCTTGGTTTGACTGTTCAGAACATGGTGTAGTGGTCACCACTGGTCACCCATGGTCCCCCTGAATGGACTGTCACATCAGATAGAATGTTTATTTAGAGCACTGTAGTTAAGAATTCACCCTCCAGCCCTAGCTGGTTTGGCTCAGTGGATAGAGTGTTGGCCTGCAGAAGGGTGCCAGGATTGATTCCAGATTATGGGCTCAATCCCCAGTAGGGGGAATGCAAGAGGCAGCCAATCAATGATTCTCTGTCATCACTGATGTTTCTATTTCTCTTTCTCTCTCCCTCTCCCTTCCTCTCTGAAATCAATAAAAAAAAACCTACCCAATAAAATAGTAATATGCAAATTAACAACCACTCTGCCACACTCACCAGCCACGCCCACCAGCCAATCAGAGAGAGTATGCAAATTAACCCAACCAAGATGGCTGCGGCCACAGAGAGTAGGAGAGAGGCTTGGGTTTCCCAGACAATGGAGGAAGCCAAGCTTTCCACCTGTCCTAGCTGGCCTAGGCCTTCACTCCAGGCCTCTACTTCAATTATAGAAGGTAAGGAAATCCAAACAGAAATGGTGGCAGCCACGGAGCAGGAGGCTTGGGCCCGCTCCAGGCTACAAAGTTTCAATTGTAGAAGAGAAATAAACCCCAGATACCAGGGCCTCCGCTTGGGTCACGGGGAGGGTGGGGGGGGGGGAAATTGGCCAGCTTGCAAACCACAACAGGCCCCTTGCTGAGGCTGCCCCACGCTCTAAGGAACCAACAATAATAATAAAAGCGTAATGTGCTAATTAGACCAGACTATCTTCCAGAGGAAGCTGGGCTGTGAGGAAAGCCTGGGTCCCAGTGCCAGAGGGAAGCTGGTGCCGGCAGCGGGGAAGGAAGGCCTAGTCTTGCACAGATTGTGCTTCGGGCCTCTAGTAAATAAATAAGAGAATTCAGCCCTCGCTGGTTTGGCTCAGTGGATAGAGGACCCACGTTCGATTCCGGTCAAGGGCACATGCCTGCCTGGGTTGCAGGCTCCATCCCCAGTAGGAGGTGGACAGAAGGCAGATGATCAATGATTCTCTCTCATCACTGATGTTGCTATCTCTCTCTCCGTTCCTCTCTGAAATCAGTGAAAATATATTAAAATTCACCTTCTAAAGGCAAATTGACTGTGTTGCAGGCTCATCTTTCTCACTGATAATTAGGGTTGTGACTTTAAGTTCTTTCTAAGTCTGTTTCCTCGCTTGTCAGATGGGGCCGCTGCGCAGTGAAAGGTTCACAGCTGCAGAGCCTTTCCACCTGCTGGCGTGCTGAGCTCAGGGCTCCCTCTCCTCTGGGCGGGCAGAGGGGCCAGTGAGCAGGTGGGCGCTCAGGCTCAGGCTCAGGGAAGTCAGGCCGCTGCCCCCTTGCTGAGGCCCGGCTCCGCTCTGTCGCAGCCGCTGCCTCTTGCCCGGGAGCCTGGCCAACGGGTGAAGCTGTGGTGAGGCGCTCGGGCACGTCATTCCACTTGGGGCCCAGCGACACCCCGACAGCAGTGAGCTCCTTGGAATGGAAGGCACAGCTGTGCTCAGAGGAACGCACTCGCGTGCTGTTCAGCTGGAGGGCCAATGGCAGCTCCGAAGGGGAGCACTGGGACTCCGGCCGCCACAGGCTCCGCCTCAGCACCAGCCCGCCCAGTCTCCTCTTCGAGGCCGCGCAGCAGGACGACAGCGGCACCTACTCCTTGGAGGTCACCAGCGAGGCGGGCGCCGTCAGGATCCACTGCTTCCTCGTGTCCGTGCTGGGTGAGTGCCCCACTCGCGTGGGTGGGGGCGGCGGGGGGGCCTGAAGGCCTGCCTGACCGAACCTCTGCTTCCAGACCCCGTGCGGCAGCCCGAGCTGCGGCTGCTGGAGCAGAGGGCGGCCCCGGGCGGCAGGTGCCAGGTGACTCTGAACTGCTCGGCCTCCGGAGGCAGCGATGTGGCCTACACCTGGTCCAGAGGGGGCCAGGCCATCCCGCCGCCCAGGAGCCCCTTCCGCCTGGAGGAGCAGATCGGGGCGGGCGGCCTGCACACATACACCTGCAACACCAGCAACGCGGTCAGCTGGGCCAGCCGGAGCCTCCAGCTCGGCCCGGGCTGCGGGAGCGCTGGCCACAGTGAGTGCCCTCGGGGCTGGGCGCGGAGGGTGTGGGCCGGGGCAGGCTCAGGAGCAGGAGCCAGGAGGTCTGGGAGCCCTTCGCCAGGGTCCTGGCCTCAGGCGCACAGGTCCGGCAGCCAAGCCGCCTGGAGCTGGGAGAATTCGTCCCCATCAAGAACCTCCTGGAAGTCTCTTCCTTCCCACAGGAAGCCCTCCTTGTCTGGGGAGGGACAGCCAGTCTGGCTGTGAGCTGTTTTCTTCTTTGGCTGCCGGACGCTTCCCCCTCAGGGGCCGCCTGCCCCTGCCCTGTGGTCCCAGAGCAGTGCCGGGGCTGGCGGCTCAGACGGGCACTGGGCAGAGGCACTGTGCTTCCCGGAGAGTCACCCGGGCCACTTTGCACCGCTTTTTCTTGGGTAAATCAGACCTAATGTGATGTCAGCATGGATTCACAGGGTGTGAGGGTAAGACCCGCCTGCACCCTGTCTTTAAGGAACTTACAGCCAAACAGGGGCACAGAGTAAGCTCTCCCGGCACACCGACACGAAAGCCGACGCGCGGGCACACTGGGCAGCTCCTGCAAACGCCTGGCAGGCTGCTGTTTAGGCACAGTGAGGCCCTGTCTGTGAGGGCCTCGTGGGCAGCATCTGGGCTGCCCTCCTTTCCTGCATGGCTGCTCGGCACTGCCCTTGGCTGCGGGACAGGCCCTGGCACGGACGTCCCGCGGGGAGAGCAGAGGTCGCAAAGGCGGCGGAGGCAGCCTGGCAGGAGCGGACATGCTTGTTGCGGTAAAACGAAGGAAAGGGTCTGGGTGACAGTGACTGAGCTGGGATCTGTCCGCTGTTACTGCTTGCTGTGTAGGTACATTGTCTCCTCCTGTGAGAAAACAGGCCCAGAGAGGCTGAGGAGCTTGCCCAAGGGCACAGAGCTTAGTGTCAGCACCTGATTCCGAGTCCCCTGCTCCATTGTCACTGGGTGGCCTTCCATTGGAGCAGGGAGACACCTCTGACCTGAGTTCACTGGAGTGAGAGCAGCACCCCAGCGAGGGGGAGGGGAAAGCGGTCACTGCAGCAGGCAGGGAGGCAGGGAGGCAGGGAGGCAGGGAGGCAGGGAGGCAGGGAGAAGGCGAGTCCTCACGCCCATGTCTCCGTCTCCCTCAGAGCTCGGCCTCCTGCCCCTTTTGATGATCATCCTGGTTCCCATACTCACGCTGCTCGGCACCCTCACCTGCGTCTGCATGTGGAGAAGGGGGAGGAAGCCGGCAGGTAAGGGGAGGGGCCCTAGGACAGGCTGCCTGACCGCCTCCCTGCACCGGAGGGACATGCCCGCGTCAGGGAGGGAACACAATGGCTGCTCCGGGTCTCGCTGGGGGGAGGGAGTGCGGGGTGCAGGGGGAGATGTACATGGCCTGATCCCTAGCAGCAGCTTTACTGGCTGTGGCCGGTTTGGGGGAAACTATCAGGCAGGTGCTGCCTTGAGCTCTTTGAGTAACCCTCCTCCCTTCTAGAACCTTCCTCAGGGTCTCGCCACCTTGAACGAGGGTGGATGCTGGGAGCAAGCGCCTGCCCGTCTCCCCCAGAGGTCTCTGCAGCTCTGCTCTGCTTCCCTCCCCCAGAGCCCGGCCCAGAGGAGGCGCTGACCGTTTATGAAGATGTCCGCAGCCCGCCCATCGGGAGCGGCCAGGTGCTGCCCAAGGTGCGATCTCTCCTTCCTTCCTGACGTGTCCTGGGAGCATGGCCCTGCCCAGCAGGGGCCCGACAGCCCGCTGCTGCTTCCGAGTGGCCTCAGCCCATCTCGGTCCCTCTCAGGTCCTAGCTCTGGCCGCGGGTGGACAGAGAGAACTGGGGGGAGATGATGAGATGAGGCCCAAGGGCATTTGGGGCAGAACTGGGTCCCCGGCACCAGGCATAGGGGCCCCTGGTGCCCTAATTTCCGGCGGCCAGGCTAAGGCTCAGGAGGAGTGCGACCTTGTATGTTGCATGTGACGAATTCTCCTGCCCCTGTAAGTTCAAGTTTACTTTTGGGGGCCCTTGGTCATTGCCCAGTGGCGAGGGTGCTGGCCGACAGTCTTGCTGCCGGCTCAGTGGTGTGTGTGCAGATGGGAAAAGGCTGCGTCTGGCTGAGGTGAGCAGGGCTCGCTCCGAGGGGAAGCAGAGGCAGCAGAGGGGCTGCAGCACAGGGTGTGGGCCCGGTGGGCGCAGTGCTCGCTGAACTATCCGGTGGGAAAGGAGGGACCGGAAGGACCCTCCTCCCACCGCCGTTCCTGGCGCTGGGCTTGGACAGCGAAGCAGGAAACCAGGTGGGGGCCTGGAACCACGAACAGAGGCAGCTCCCTGAGGCTCTCTGGGGCCTTGTCGGGGCCCAGCAGCAGAATACCGGGGAGTTGGTGCCTCTCCCGTCTCCACACCTAGTACAAATCACAGCAAATACCAGTGCCTACAGCCATGGAGGCCCTGCTCAGGGAAGGTCACTTTAGATAGAAAAATGGAGGATAATACTGAGGAAAATGAGTATTTAGGAGAAAAAATCTATTGGGGATTTAGGCCCATTACTATGCTTCTAAGCCAGGGGTTCGTCTCCCATGGCCTCGTCCCCACTCTCCCCAAAGGCCTCCACCTCCCCACGGGATCTGGCTGGGCCTTCTGGCTTCCCGCAGGCCGGGAAGAAGAAAGCAGCAACAGAGCCAGGTTCTGCGAGCTGCCTGTGCTGCCCCAGCCTTCAAGTGACCAGACACCAAGGGGTGGAGCCAGTTCAGTAGAGACAGGGTGGAGCCCAGTGCAAGCGTATATCCCAGTCCTGCGCCGGGTGGCTTGGAGAGCAGCAGGTCAGCCACACACCTCTGCTCCCTCGCCCCGTAAGCCAGCTGCTCATACTGGGCAGAAGGACAGAGGTTACACGGGAAGGAGGCAGAGGGATAGGAATGGGCATGCAAAACGGGCAGTTTACAGGCAACGCAGGCTGGGGTTTTGCAAGAGGGGGTGTGGGGGCCCCTCTGGTCTCTGCAACAAGATGGTTAATCTTTCCCTGACAACAGGCAGCTCCCGGGGGCTGTGTTTCCAGGCGAGCTCCCATGTACTATGTGCAACTCCAGCCAGGTTAGAATGTGCCTTGTTTTTTTTTTTAAAAATTTTTTTTCCCCCTCTTGATTTCAGAGAGGAAGAGAGAGGGAGAGAGAGATGGAAACATCCATGATGAAAGAGAATCTGGATCAGCTGCCTCCTGCATGCCCCACACTGAGGATCGAGCATGTTCCCTGACCCAGAATAGAACTGTGACCTCCTGGTTCATAGGTCAATACTCAACCCCTGAGTCGGGCCGGCTAGGCTGTGTCTTCCTTAATCAGAACAAAACAATCCTGGTTAACAGAGCAGGATTCATATTTCTTAGTTATAGCTGAGCCCCAGGATCCTATTTCTGCCCCAACACAAGGATTGCTGAACTCCAGAGCCGGTCCTGGCAGCAGACCTCCAAGAGGAAGGGCATGAATGAGCTTGGACCCCACGGGGGCAGCACTGAGAGAGGGAGACAGTCTCTGGCTGGGGTCGGTTCACTCAGCTGCACACTGCAGGGGGCTGGCTGGAGCCAAGGGCACGAGGACTGGCAAGGCTGGGTCTGGTCTGGGGCTCGGAGCCATCTAGTCCTGGAATCAGTGGCTGCAGTGAGACTGTGACCTCACTTAGTGCACAGTCAGCGGCCAACAGTCAGGCGGGGAAGGGGCGTTTCTATGCAGGACAGGCGCTCAGGGGCTGGGTCTCCCGGGCCAGCCCTTTCATGGTGCTTCGTCCCAGCTGCTGCCCGGTGGCTGCTCTCCATGCCACTCTGGCCTGGGACCTGGCGCTCCCTCCCAGCTCCTGGGAGGCCCTCTCTTTTGCACCCTTCTCCCGACATGACCCAAACCCGGAAGGCTGAGCGCCTGCTGATGCTGCCACATGCCTTTCCCGTTTCTCCTGCAGGAGCGGAGGCAGGAGCAGGACTCCTCTGGGAATGGGAGCACTGTCTACTCCATGGTGCTGCCCCAGGTACGGCTCATTCTCGCTTGGAGTCCACACCTGTGTATGAGCTTCCTCAGCCCCCCACCCCCAAATCTCCACACACCTCGGATCCTGAATGGCGAGTGAGATCTTTTTGTGAATTTGGTGCTTTTGGAGGGAAGGTGGCTGGGCAGTGGCGCTGAGGTTGACTGACAGTCCCTGTGCTCTAGGGTCTCCACAGCCTAACAGCCAGGCAGGAGGTTTCCTCCCTGCAGCCAGAGGTGGGGCCAGATGAAGTCACGGGAGTATGACCATGACAGGAGTTCGGCTTCTGGTTTTCTGTGTTCTTTTCCCCCACTTCCCTGCTGCTTCCAGGACATGGGGCCCTTGCACTTAAAAAACTATATATATATACCCTGTTTCCCCAAAAATAAGACAGTGTCTTATATTAATTTTTTCTCCCAAAGTTGCGCTAGGTCTTATTTTCAGGGGATGTCTTATTTTTGGGGAAACACGGTATACACACACACACACACACACACACACACGAGAGGCTTGGTGCATGAAATTTGTGCATGGGAATTTGGGTAGGGGTGTCCCTCAGCCCAGCCTGCACCCTCTCCAATCTGGGACCCCTTGAGGGATGTCTGACTGCCCGTTTAGACCTGATCCTGGTGGACACATCTTCCCCAAGAAGAGAGAAATGGGAATGTGAAGAACAGTGTTAGCATTTAGCTCCACAGAATCACAAACACATAAAATATGGGATTGGGCCTAAACAGGCAGTCGGAAATCCCTCTCACAATCCAGAACTGCTAGCTCCCAATTGCTCACCTGCCTGCTTTCCTGATTGCCCCTAACCACTTTTGCCTGCCAGCCAGATCACCCCCTAACCACTCCCATGTCAGCCTGATTGATGTCTAACTACTCCCCTGCCAGCCTGTTTCCCCCAACTTCCCTCCTCTGCTGGCCTGGCCACACCTAACTGCCCTCCCCTACAGGGTTGATCACTTCCAACTGTCCTCCCTTGCAGGGTTGATTGCCTCCAACTGCCCTTCCTTGCAGGCCTGGACCTCTCAACTGCCCTCCCCTGCTGGCCTGGTCTCTCCCAACTGCCCTCTCCTGCTGGCCATCTTGTGTCCACATGTGGGCAGGATCTTTGACCACATGGGGGCAGCCATCTTGTGTGTTGGAGTGATGGTCAATCTGCATATTACTCTTTTATTAGATAGGATGGAGGCCTGGTGCATGGGTAGGGGCTGACTGGTTTGCCCTGAAGGGTGTCCTGGATCAGGGTGGGGGTTCTCTTGGGGCATGGAGCGGCCTGGGCGAGGGCCCTGTGGTGGTTTGCAGGCCAGCCACGTCCCCCCGGTGACCCAAGCAGAGGCCCTGGTATCTGGGGTTTATTTTTCTTCTACAATTGAAACTTTGTAGCCTGGAGCAGAGCCAAGCCTCCTACTCACTCTGTGACTGCCACCATTTCTGTTTGGATTGGTTTACCTTCTATAATTGAAACTTTGTAGCCTTAATCAGAGGCTTGGGCTCGCCAGGGTGTGTGGAAGGCTTGGCTTCTTCTATCATCTGGAAAATCCAAGCCTCTCTCCTGTTCTCTCTGTGGCTGCAGCCATCTTGGTTGGGTTAATTTGTGTACTCGCTCTGATTGGCTTGTGGGCATGGCTGGTGGGCATGGCTTGTGGGTGTAGCAGAGTGATGAATAATTAGCATATTACTCTTTTATTATATATATTAAGAATATATATTATTATATATAAAATAAAAGAGTAATGCTAATATTAGAGAAGAAGGGAGAGGGAGAGAAACATCAATGATAAGAATCATTGATCTGCCAAAACTGGTTTGGCTTAGTGGATAGATAGAGCATCAGTATTTGGACTGAAAGGTTCCAGGTTCGATTCTGGTCAAGGGCATGCACATTGGTTGTGGGAACATCCCCGGTAGGGGATGTGCAGGAGGCAGCTAGTCGGTATTTCTCTCATCATTGATGTTTCTAGCTCTCTATCCCTCTCCCTTACTCTCTGTAAAAAAAATCAATTATATATATATATATATATATATATATATATATATATATATATATATATATATAAAATCATTGATCTGAGGAGAAACCAAGATGGCAACATGGGTAAACACCTGAACTTGGTGCCTCGCACAACAACTTCAAAACTACAACTAAAAGACAAAACAGACATCATCTAGAACCACAGGAAGGCTGGCTAAGTGGAAATTCTACAACTAGAAGGGAAGAGAAAAGCACACTGAGACTCAGGGGAGCTGTGGAAGTAAAGTGCAGAGGTACAGAGGTGCATGTGCATGTGGAGGGGGCTGGCAACTGAGGACATGGCTGGCTTTTTCAATTGCAGAGAGACACAAGCTCCCAACTGCTCTGAACTCCAGTTCCGGGTAAGACTCTGGGGACACAGACACATATGGGGAGAAACTGGATTGTCTGGCAGCAGTGGAACTCAAGAGCGGCTTTCTCTCAGAGGTGCTTGCAGTGATTACCAAGAGACACTGAGACCCCAGGGCCTCTTAGGGAAGAGCTGATGGGAATCCATTGCTGTTTGCCCCCCCACCCCAACTCTGCCCCATTCAAGCTGTGTGCAGAGGCTTTTGCATATGAATGGCCTGGTCCTTTGAAATATAAACTTACCTAAACAAACTGCAGCTGAGTCAGAGAGACCCAGAACATCCAAAAGAAGGTCCAAAGCCCCACAGCAGCTTGCATTACTTCACAGCTGGGCCTCATCTGGGCACCTCCAAACCCAAACAAAGAAGAGGAATCTGCAGATCTCTCTGTTGTTCCTGTTGGGTGGCCTCAGGCAGAGGCTAAATTATCACCTCCTTGGAGATCCAAGAGCCAGTGTACCCAGGGGTCAGAGTGGGACCATCCAGATTACAACTCCTCAGATCCATAAGGGACACACTAAGGGGGCAGACTCACTGAGCACCAAAGCCCCACTGAAGCAAGTCTTGCCCCATAAGGGTGTCTCCAGCACAGAAGTCCGACCATCACAGACACAGCTGATCCTCACAGCCAACTGGCCTGAAGGTCAATTCCTCCCAGTGATACCAACAACAATCAAGGCTTACCTACAATAAGACTGTGCACACAGCTCACAAAGGGGTGCACCAAGAGTGTCCACTTCAGGTAACTGGGGAGGCTGAGCCACTGGGCCCTATAGGACACTTAGCACACAAAGCCACTCTGTCAATTCAAGGAAGCAGCCAAAATGCAGGGACAAAGAAACAGATCACAAATGAAAGAAATGGAGGAAAGCAAACTACTGGATATAGAGTTCAAAACCATGGTTTTGAACTCTATATCCAGATTTTTCAAGAATTTTCTAGAAAAGGCTGATAAATTTAATGAGACCCTCAAGGATATGAAAAAGGACCAACTAGCTATTAAGCATACACTGACTGAAATAAAAAATGATATACAGATATCTAACAGCAGACTAGAGGATCACAAGAATCAAGTCAAAGATTTGAAATACAAAGAAGCAAAAAACACCCAACTAGAAAAGCAAAAAAAAAAAAAAAAAAGAATCCAAGAGAAACCAAGATCGCGGCAAAAGTAAACAACTTAACTGCCACCTCTCACAACAATTTCAAAACTACAACTAAAAGACAAAATGTCTATCACCCAGAACCACGGGAAAGCTGGCTGAATGGAAGTCCTACAACTAGCAGGAAAGAGAAAGGAGCACAAACGCTGAAAAGCTGAGAGACGGAGGCACACGAATTGAGCTGATGGCAGACAACTGGGCACACAGCTTTTTTTCAACCCGAAGGGAAACAAGTTCCTGATCACATTGAAATCCAGTTTCTGTAGACACAAGGGGGCCCCAGATGCCTACAGGGAAAAGTTGGACTGTTGGCCATCGGGTCGGAAAGTGAGGGTGACTTTTTTGCAGAGGTGTGAGCATCAATCATTGTTTACTGCGCTGGAGCACGGGGACAGGGGGACTTGGAAACTTGGAAAGGCAGAGAAGGCTGATGGCAGACATCGCTGTTTGCTACGCCCCAGCCTAGTGACACCCTGAGACCCCGCCCTACACATTCTACAAACCCTCCTAGGCTTATACAGTGGCTTTTGCATATAAATGGCCGGCCCTGTGGCAGCTTAAGAAAATAAACTGCAGCTCCAGTCAGACAGCTCCAAAACCACCAAATTACAAGCAAAGAGGAGAAAACTGTAGTTCTTGCTGTAGCTCCTGCTTGGTGGCCTCAGACAGTAGCTGACCTACACCCCATTGGAGATCCAGAAACTAATGTATCTAGTGGTCTGTGTGAGATGACACCAGATTTCAACTACTGTCATAAGGGACACATTCAAGAGGCAGACTCAGTGAGCACCAAAGCCCCACTGGAACAAGTCTTGCCCCATAAACGTGTCTCCTGCACAGCAATTCTTCCATTATAGACACAGCGGATGCTCACAGCCAATTGGCCTGGAGGTCAATTTTTCCCAGTGACAGCAAAAACACTTAAGACTTAACTACAACAAGGCTGTACACACAGTCCACAAAGGGGTGCACTAAGAGTGTCCACCTAGGTAACTGGGAGGCTGACCCATTGAACCATATAGGACACCCGGCACACAAAGCTACCCTATCAATGCAAGGAAGCAGCAAAAATGAGGAGCCAAGGAAACAGATCACATATGAAAGAAATTGAGAACAAACAACTGGACATAGAGTTCAAAACCACAGTTATAAGGTTTTTCAAGAATTCCCTAGAAAAGGCCAATAAATTTAATGAGACCCTCGAGGACATGAAAAAGGACCAACTAGAAATTAAACATACACTAACTGAAATAAAAAATATTATACAGAGACCCAACAGCAGACTAGAGGAGTGCAAGAATCAAGTCAAAGATTTGGAATACAAAGAGGCAAAGAACACTCCTCCACCGAAGCAAGAAGAGAAGAGAATCCAGAAAGTTGAAGATAGTGTAAGAAGCCTCTGGGACAACTTCAAGCATACCAACATCAGAATTATGGGGGTGCCAGAAGAAAAGA